TGGAGCGCATGCAAGTTGGTACTCGGGGGACTAGGGTTAAATTTCAGCTGCCACCGGGTCCCTTTTTGAACAAACATCTTAACAAAGATCCTAACAAAAATATCATGAAATCATAACCTCTTTCAAAAAGAACGAATTTAACAAAAGCCCTATAAAACAATGACTAAAAATAACATCAAAGGTGGCGAAGAAACATTCGTCCCTAACATAAAAGCATAACAACCTAACATGTAACCAGGGTTTCCCCAGGCTCCCCCTTCTATATATTTTCCCCTCGCAAAGAAATTGATATTTCAATTGCAAATTGAAACGTCTAAGGGGGGGCCCCCCGTGTTTCCTTTTTCCAGGAACTAACCTCTGTATGGTCTCACACTTTTTGTACATACATGACTGATACATTTGGCTCAAGACTGAGAAAAGCCGCTTGCTTTCGCAACCGACTGCATTCGACTCGTGTCCGAGCATCGTCCATACGGACCTCTCTCGAGACAGTGTTCTTTCCAAGGGAAATCCACTGCATTGCACTTCGTGTCACCCCCCCCTGTAAAGTGAATTGAAAGAGGCTATTCGACTCCTCCCTCGTCCTTGTGAGAAAGCATACCAAATGTCTAGAGAAGACAATATGAAAGTCGATGTTTTTTTTGTGTTCGGTTGACTCAGCCAACAGCACTTTGCGCTCGTGGCACAAAAGCGTTGCGTTGCTGCCCTCCCTCCGCGTCCCTCTGATCCTTCCACACCCTTCGCTTTCGCCCCCACTGTCCTCAAGTATAGATAGATAGATAGATAGATATACAGTATATATATATATATAGCACTGGACAGGCAGATTTCGAAAAAACAAACAACTTGGCTTGCGTGGCCCAACCCAGAGAGTTGAAAGGTGCCAAAGGCAGTTCGAAGAGCTCCCGGATCATACATTGTTTCCCATGTTGCTCCACCAAGAAACCTTCTCGACTTCTCACCTTCAACCGACGGTAAATCCATCCATTTGCAGGCGCCATGCTTGGTCGTTGACGGTGGAGACTGTGAAGGAAGAGATGCATGCGATTTCGAGGACATAATTGACTGATGCAGATGGATCATTTTGTTGTTTATATAAATAATTGTTCGCCAGCCAGCATGACCAAACAATGGAACTAGTCAACCCAGTATGCCTTTGCACAGGGTGGCCTGTGTGTGTGCCCCTTGTAGTCACAGGGATTCTTTTTGACATGTTTTGAGCAGGGGGGCACAGGAGGCCCATAGAGCTGTACCCAACGAAGCTCTCTATGGTGACCTCAGGATATGCAGCCTGATCAGCTGCACGTACCTGCTGTTTGAACTTTTGAACAAGCTTTGACTCCAATTTCCAGTAAAGTGCTACTGAGCTTGGCAGACATGAGCGTACGACGTCATCTCGACCTGCTCGTCGCTTTCGGTCTTGAGCTTTTGGCCCTTTCTCCTTTTGAAGACCTCCAGGCTCCATAGGGTTCTCCTGGACTTTTCAGGATTTGGTTTCTTAGGCTGGCGTGTGGCCCCGCTGTCAAGTCAGTACACAAAATCAGAAGTGTGTGCTTTGACGTCCTTTGGCTATGTGCTGACTCGTGACGATTCTATTGGTGTACTGAATCGCATGACCAGGATGCAGCCCGTGTCGCCATCATCCCGGATGCCAAAGACTCCGAAGACGCCCAAGACACCCAAGACACCGTTGGTTCGAGGCATCCACAATTGTGGTCAGGGAAGGGAACACCATGCTTGGTGGAGAGGGTGCAACGGGTGCAGTTGCGCTGTTCATCCAATTGTGATGAATCCCCGTAGGATATCTTAAGTAGAAGCTGTGTAGACGAGCTGGCATGCAAAAGGCAAAACACCTCAGTCCTTTATATATATATATAGCCTTTTTTACATTTGCTGGGAGTTGTGAGCAACTAGGCAGCTAGTCTGACGAATCTTCAAAGCTGCGCCGCGATTTCGCACATTCTTCCATGCAAGGCAAGCGCATGTCAGCGTGCCTTGGCTGGGATGAAGGCCTTATGTGCGTTTGTACCACACCGACGTTCTTTTTCTATTTGGTCATTAGGGTGCAGACTGATGTCACTCTAAGTATCTATCTCTCTCTCTCTATAATATATATATATATTTACCAGGCTACCGCCTGCAGCCGCCGACCCCCAAGGGATAGAACCTTAGCGCTAGCCTTGCTCCAGGCAGAGAGGTGGGGTGAGGCGTGACTGTCGATGTTAAAGCCTAGAGCATTGGGAACCTAAAAACAAGAGGACATGCAAGAAAATGTTTGGAAAAGGAACAGCATCCTGCCGAATAAAATCTAAACAAAGCCAAGAGTATTCCTAGGAAAAATCAAGGGCATTGGCCGGGAACACTGGCATAAAATAGGTTAGCCAAAGGTCAACAATTTTGGGGGGAAATCTGGGAACCTAAAGACAAGAGGAAGCGCTAGAAAATTCTGGCAAAAGCATCCAACCGAAAACGTAACAACATCTAGACAAAGCCTAGAGCATTCCTAGGAAAATATTGGAAAAGCCTTTGAAAGTTCCATAGGTTAGCCAAAGGTTACGAATTTTTGGGGGAAATCTGGGAACCTAAAAACAAGAGGAAGCGCTAGAAAATTCTGGGAAAAGCATCCAGCCGAAAACATAACAAAATCTAGACAAAGCCTAGAGCATTCCTAGGAAAATGCTAGAAAAGCCTTTGAAAGTTCCATAGAAAACATAACAAAATCTAGACAAAGCCTAGAGCATTCCTTTGAAAATTTCATAAACCAACAGAAAACGTGACAAAATCTACGAAAAAGCAAGGGCATTGGCCGGGACCATGCCGCGACCAGCCCGGGATTCGAGCCCAGGACCATTTTGGACCGCGCTTATTTTCCCGCGCGGGTCGAGAGGGTGCCCCAAGATGTAAATCAATTGGGATGGCAGAATCTTGGACAATCCAGGTCACCATTAGGTCGCTTTCAGGTCGCAATCCCGTCAAATCCCGTAGCTATCAGGTCGCTTTTAGGTCGGGTGTGGAGGGGTAGGGGAGGTAAGGTCTAAGGCTAAGGCTACGGTCTAAGCTCTAAGCCTAAGGCTAAGGCTAAGGCTGAGGCTAAGGCTTAAGTCTAAGGCTAAGGCTAAGGATTAAGGCTAAGGCTTAAGGCTAAAGGCTAACATCGACAGTCACGCCTCACCCCACGGTGTGGGGTCGGCGGATTATATACTTGTGTTGTGCTCCACCTGGGCTACAGCACTGTTTGGAGCGCTGTGGGTTAGTTCGGCGCTGTGGCCATCCCCACTTGCGGCACCATGCACCCTAAGGGCAGCAAAGCTGTGGAGATGCTCTAAGAACTGCGGCCCTGACTGTTGCGGGGACATCCCGGATTCTTTGTTGCTGGAGAAGGCCAGTCGAGGTAGTCAAATTGGGGCCAGGCCTAGACTAGACCATCGACTTGATCATTTGGTCTCCTGATCGCTGATCACGAGAGCTAGCTTCAGCTAGCTGGAGTTACTCATGCTTTAGCAAGTTGTTGGTTGGGCTACCCAATGAATTTATCCACTGTTAGAACCCCCCCCTCCCCTCCGCAGGTTCAACTCCCCTCTGCCAGATTTAGGAGCAGAATAGTTCTGATAGCGTCCGTTTTTGGGACCATTATGTTTTACATCATGCCACACATCCCCATCCGTTTTAAGGTCACGCGCTTAGACGGAGCTAGCTTTCGTCACCGTATGTCTTGTCTCGCTTTTGCGGTGTTCGCCACTCCAAGCGAGTTGGTGGTGCTCACGAGGCCGACGACCCGCGAGCACGGCTGATCAGCATTTGATTTGGCCGATATCCAATTCAATGAGTCCAACTTGCAACCTTTAGTTGCTGAAAAGAACCTGGAATTGCTAGCAACAGACTTGGTACAGAATACAGTCTCTCGACCGACATTTGCGTGTAAGTTAGTTTAAATCGCGCCCAGTCCATGAGCCACACCTCAGGGCTTTGCCCAAAGTGCTGCACGAGCTGCACAAAATGCTCATGAGAGATCTTATTTGTTCATCAACCTCATCATTTGCCGGCACAGGGTTCTCACATCATGCCAGGCTTAAAGAGGGGTGACTTAAGAGTGGGCGGGGTGACGAGTGTGTTTAAGGACCTGATCATGCGTGGCTCAAGGTTGCCTTAGAAAGCGTGGTCAAGGCGTGTGTACCTTTTCTTCCTTAAGGCTTTGCACAGGCTTTTAGAGAGTGTTCCAGCAACAAAAGGAAACCTGATCCCATCCAACTCTTTAATGGTGCAAGCGCACAACTTTTTAACGGCTACACGCCGCTGAGTGAATCAGGAATTCGAAGTCTCACACATTTGCAATGTGAGGGTGTCTTGCTTCTTCAGCATAGCATGCAAGAGGCCAGACATTCATGAAGCACAGCTGCACCTCTAGTTCGGTTTCCAAGGGTGCACACTGAATGGGTGACCAAGGCGATTAGAAGTTCTCAAACTTAGACTGTTATCTTTCCTTCACTGACGCGAATGAGCGTCCAAAGTGAAGGCTCGGTCAGCACCGCTTCAAGCGAGCAGCAGCGAGCAGCCTGACCCCTGAATGAGTCTGTTAAACGAAAACTGAGGTTGGGCATTGCGTCGGTTGAACCGTGATTAAAACACGGAGTTTATCATGCAACCTGTGGCTGACTGTCCGGAGAGAGATTTGCTGGAATAGAACCCAACCTTCGCCTGAATGAGTTCCCCGGGCAGTGGGAGATGAGGCCCCCAACAGTTTCCTCTTCGACCATATGCTGAGTATTCATAGGTTACGCCACTGCTGGACGTGTCGTATATCGTATCGTACGCCGATATTTGCCTGAGTGGGCCTTTCGCGGAGGACAGTTGTAGCTGCGAGAAGCAAAAAGAGAGAGGAAGTGCTCAAAGATTCAAAGATCAGGAGGCACATGGAGACACTGCAGGAGGTGGAGCCTGCTAGGGTTTGCAGGCCCGCTTGCTATAGAACACCCACTGGACCGTTTGCTGCTTTGCCCGAGGAAGAGGACTTGCAGAAGATGCCAAGCCTGTGGAAGCAGCCAACGGCGATGGCTCGGAGACACGATGGGATGTTAGAAGCTGTGAGCTGTGAAACCCAAAGCCAGTTCTTCAATCAAGATTGTGAACAGAAGAGATCCGGATGGGATTCAGGGGCTACAGGGATCTTGATAAAAGAAGAGAATGGAGGCTTCATGGGCAGTAGTGAGGCAGTGAGGCCACTTGTCGGAAATTGTTTGAACATATCAATGCCGTGCCATTAAAGCAATGAGAGTGGCTGAGTGGGCAACGCCACTCTTACTTGGATGTGCTGGTCAGGTGCAGGTTTGTGCAGCAAATGACGCTGGCCAATCTTCCTGGTCCAAGCTGGAGGTCAGAACTCGTGCTGAAGCATTGGGGTTTTTGAACATCATGAGTAATAAGCGGCTTTTGTAAGCAATAAGGTCATGGAGATACAGTTGTGTATTGACATGCAGCCCAAAAAGACCTTATGTCTTTGATTAAGGAGCGCAGTGATCCCGTACACACCATGTTGCAAATCCTTAAGTTGTTCTCGGAGCAAGGTGGCTAAGCCCGGGATACATATCAGGCCACATATGACAGCAGCATGGAGGTGAGTTCACGACATGGTGTATCGGCGTATCAATGACGTCGTTTGACCAGAACTTTTCTCCTCCGCCAAGAGCTTCTTGAAAAACCATAGGTTTCAACCCATTTTGGGCCTCGGAGCTCCAATAGCTCAGATCTACATTGCTGGGGCAAAGCCTTCGGTGGCAGCTGGCCTAAAATCAGTGCATGTTGACCATTGGGCGGCTTGCAGCCTTGCGAGGACAGAGGGATAGGAAAGACCCAAGGGATGTTGCACTGGTTGGAGCCTTTTGTGTTTAGGTACGGCCTCAGCTTCGTTTTTATAGACGCGCTCTGTAAAGAGTTGGTGGTGGCATGTTGTGCATGCCGCATCGCCTGATTTTTATGCGATGCAGATGATTCAGCATGGATCGGCAAGAGTCCTCAGGTTCGGATACCCTCGAGTCCCGGCACTGACTCAGAGGTGATTGCGGGTGATTGCGGGTGGTGTCGGGATATGTCGAGTGATTCCTGGCACTGCCCAGTGGATTTGGATTTGATATGATTTTGGCAGGTGCTGGCGGCATTTTATCCAGCTCTTGGTATATCAATATAAACTGAATCAAAGTTCATTTGAGTTGGTAAGTTAATCACACCATTATTGAAACTGCTATTATTCATTCGAAGAGTTTGCGAGGCCAGTTCATCATTGGCCAGCTCGCCCGGAAAACACTTCAGCCAAGACTCCTTCAACAGAGAGATCCAGAGGACGGGTCGCACATCGGAGTCAGCACTTCAAGTGCTCGAAATGTCACCGTCTGCGGAGTGAACCTTCCTCGGGATTCTAGATTAAGCATGTTTAAGAAGGTGGACTTGGCTTGGGACGCTGGGAAGGCGCTCCGGCCAAGACCTACAGCAGTGGCTGCAAAAGCAGCTCAAGGCCAGCTGCAGGGCATGAAGATGGAGTATTGGGGGAACTATTGGGAAACTGGCTCCTGGTAGCTTAATCCTAGTAGCGTCCTTGCTCCTAGTAATAAGGCCAGGAGCCCCTAGCAGCGTCCTTGCTCCTAGTAGCGGTGCCCTTTGCTCCTAGTAGCATCCTTGCCCATACATATGTATATTTATATAGGTAGGCCAAAGTGTCCAGAATAGGGGTTTGGCGGTGGCACGGTTGTGCTAGAGTCCACAAGGGCATGTCCTATCTTGGGTAGCTCATTTTGGCTTCGAATGCTCCAGTTGAAGTGGTTCAATGAGACTGTTGATCTCGAGGTTTATAAAAACATGTCATTGGAGATAGCCTGTTTTCAAACTTTAAAAGCCAGTCAAAAAAAATCAAAAAAGTCAATCCCAAAAGTCAAAGTCAAAAAAGGTGATATCAGAAAGTTTCAGAAAGTCAAAAGTCAATTTGCCCAGACCCGACTTCTTTTTGACATTTTTATTTTTTTCGACTTTGTTTGTTTCACTAACTTCGAACGCCGGTGATTGCTCAAGTCACATGTCACCTTGGATCCAAGAACTCATTGGATTCTTGACCTGGGGCAGCTCATCAGGGTGGTTTGGCCTCGCTTGCCCTCCTCATTGCACGGCTTCTCCTGGCTACCTGACAGCCTTCATCCTCTCAGGATTCTGTCTCGGCTTCCTCACGGCCTCCGTGCTTGGCATTTGGCTGGCCTTCAGGCCTTTCTTTCCACCTTGGATTTCACCTGCTGCTCCTCAGGCATCTCATCCATTGTCTTCTTTGCATCCGCGCCTCTCGGCGTATTTGCATGAACGCCCCCTCCGCCATCAACATTCTGATTGAGTGTGTGAGGCAAGTGGCTCGTTCTCTACGTGGCCTTGCTGACTCTCTGGAAAGGGCCGCTGACCGGGCTGAGGGCATCGCTGCACCACAGCCTACTCCTGCTATCTCATCCGACACTGTGGACACTGTCGAGTGGGACTTGATCACACAGCTGGACGCTTTGAGTGGGCATCCAGTCTCTTCCTCGGGACCGGTCCGGCCCCTGGCTCGCTATCACGAAGTGGCTTCCAGCATCCCTGATCTACCTGATCATTGTCTTGATCTTTGCAGGCGACTTGGGGGCACTACAGCTGACGTCAAGAGCAGAGCACTTCGTGCCTGGCAGGCTGGCCATTGGGCAAAAGCCACCTGGGAAGAGAGGGTCCCGAAGCCGAGGCCTACGCCAAAGTTGGCCTTGAAAAATACCGTCTACATCATCCTCAGGGGTCCGAACATCTCTAGGCCAGTTCGTGTATCTTCAGCTGCTGAGTACAACAGGTTGCTCCCAAAGTTTGAAGATTCGATCAGCCACGCCTTCGCCTCTCTTGCCGAGGGAAAGGTCTACTGTCTTGCAGCCGGGATTAGCTTCCCGGATCCTCCTGACTCAGTCCAATGACGGAGAGGGTGAAGTTTCTGGACCAGGGCACGTATTTCATCCAAGTCCTGGCTTTGGAAACACTACAGGCTGGTGGCCCGCTTCTACAAGAATGTTTTGTGATCCCTCTGATGCCCCGAACGAATGGTGTGCTTTTGGCTCTCCCTGCAGGATTTCTTCCAGAGTCTCTTCTGCAGGAGGGTCTGGCTGCTGGTCCGGAGGACTTAATTGGACCTTCGAAGACTTTGGTGGTTCCAGGCGTTTGGGAGGAGGCAGACGGGACAGAGCTTTCCTCAGGAGAGGATATAGAGGTGCTGGTGGTGGACTTCCATCGGAGGATTTTGAATCAGGTCAGGGACTTCGATCCTGTGACGGAAGGCCCAGGGATCCATGCTTTCTCAGCAGATCATGCGGAGGTATTTCCAGAGTCGAGTTCCCTGCTTCTGGGGGCCTATGCATGGTTGGAAGAGGGTGGAGAGGGCAGGACCCAATATTACTCTGCAGAGGAGCCGGTGACTTCTTCTCATCCTCACGAACCTGCTCCCAAGGCGAATGCTTCGAAGTCTCGAGCGAAATCTTCTCCTGGTGGGGCTTCTACTCCAGCGAGGAGGGTGACTACGGCGACATTGGCAGAGCAGCTAGCAGAGATTTCCAAGAGTCTCCCTGCATTGTCATCCCGCTTGGATCAGATGTCCGAGAGACAGACCCTGCTTTCCTCACCTTCGGCTCCAGCAAGCCCGGCAGTTCCAGCCCACAAACGCCCCTTCGAGGTGTCTGGATACCAGGGCCCAAAGCCTTCCCCGACGGCCTTCTTGCGAACTGTTGGCAGCCCGCCAAGGGTTCAAGCCCTCAAGGAGAGCCCCCGCCCAGACAGACACGTCTCGTTTCCCGAGGACGAGCCAAAGCAGATTCCCTCCGATCCCGACTTCGTTCCTCCTACCCTTCCGGACCAGAACTTGGGTCAAGGAGGAATTTCAGCAGCCATTTTGCAGCAATCTCAGGCCCTTGCAACTCTGGTGGCCCATTCGGTCAATCAGGACGGCTTCTCGGATCTTGGAACAACCAGCGGCTCTTCCAGCATGTCTCTGAAAGGGTCTGCGAAGAGGGAGAAGCTGATGAACGATCTGGCCCACCGTCGTGGGGACTTTCTGCTGAAGATTGCTCAAAATGCCTTCCAGAGGTTGAAGCCTTCAGAGAGTCTGCCCAAAGACCTTCCTGGTTTCCGTGGCAAGGCGATCTTCTCGAAGTATGTGGAGAGGAATGGAGGTTTTGCTGGGCAACGAGATCATGGCCTGTTCATGTGGCTTCTTTGTCAGATAGCCGATGCCATGGTGAGTGGCGACGACAAGGGTGCTCAGGAGTTGCTTGCTTTGGCTATGGTTGCTGTGGAGCAGAGTGCCCAAGATGGAGGGAAATGGGAGGTGGCTTGGATTCTGTCTTTGCAAGAAGACCCTCCGACTGGGATTTTCTCAGCAAGGCCTGCATCTACGAATCCCAGGCTTCGAGCCTTCTCCCCGCTTTGCCCAGCGGAGTGGGCAGCAATTGCCCTTTCTTTCGTGAAGGAGGTGGACATCATCAATACTCGACGCCAGGAGGCTTTGCCTGTGAAGAAGGGAGGACAAAAGGGTCAGGGCGAGGAGGAGTCCCAGAAGAAGAAGCAACCTCGCTATCCGAAGAGGCCCAAGCAAGGGGGCAACCAGAATGCCTGAGTGAGGTCACCGAACAGGGCGCTCTCCTTGGCGCTCCTCCTCCTGCTTCTGTTCCAGATGACTGTGACAACCTTTCGGCCGACTATGACGTCCTTTGTTCCGGAGGCTCGGATAGTCTCTGCCAGGATGATGGCCATGAGCGCAAGATGACAAGCCCTGATGTTTTTGAAGGAGATGATTGTGGCACCTCTTCTGATGTACCTATTTGGGAGAAGTTGCAGACTTACTCTTTTGAGCGTTGGGCTTCTACATTGTGCGCTTCAGTTTTGGGATCTCGGACCTCCTTTGCGATGTTTTTGAGGTCTACTCTTCATGCTCAAAGACTGCTACCATGCAGATCTATGAAGGCTCTTTTCCCTTTGCCTATTCCTGCTGTTGGGATTTTTCAAAGGAGGGCAAATGGCTCCAGACACAGAAGAAGGCTGGCTTTCAATCAGGCCTTTCATGTGTGCGTGATGGCTTTCAACTTTTGGCATGCCGATTTCAAGTTTGTGCCTTTGGAGTCTTTAGCGCTTGAGCCTTCCCCTCCGCAACAAGCAGTTCTTTTGAGGCTGAGGAAGCAACTTCGAGCCTTCGGTAGCTCTGGTGAGCCTTTCACAGTGTTCCTCAGAGCGGCCGGCGAATCACTACTTTGGCGTCTCTGCTTGCTGACCTCTCGGACTTTGTGACCTGGGAGGGGATTGGTGGAGATGCTTATTCTAGAACGTTCCCTGGTGCAGAAGCTGGCTTCGGCTATGTGGCTACGGTTGAAAGAGACCTGGAGCGAGCCGAGGAGTTGAGGCCCTACAGGTCACTTGAGCCTTCACGGCTGAAGCTTTCAGGAACTGCATCATGGGATCCGGAGCCATACCTGTCGGACATGCTTTGGATGGCCTTCACCGAACCGGACAGTCTTCGTTGGGCTTCTTATGAGAGGTCTGAAAATGTTCCTGACCTTTCAAAGGAAGACTATGGCCTGACAAAAGACCTGGCTTTGTTGTGGGACATCAACGGGTTACTCTTCCTGAGAGACCCGCCTGAGGAGGTAGACAAGGACCTTTCCATGAGGTTCTTCAATTGCTACAAGAATAGCGACACTGACCGTATGATTGGAGAGCGTCGTTCCAGGAACTACGTTGAAGGCCGCCTGGCTTGTGTCTCAGGGGGTCTCCCTACAGCTCAATGCCTTTTGGACCTTGAGATCTCTCTTCCTGGTCAACGGATTTCCATTTGCGCTTCAGATCGCAAGGACTTCTACCACCAGATCAAGGTGCCAGAGCAGAGGGCGAGGACAAACGGGATTTGGCCTCTACTTCGACTTGGTGACCTGGAAGGGACTAAGGCCTTCAAGCGTTGGTCTTTGGCTGCATCTGGAAAGAAGAAATATGTCCGAGAGGCCGAGGGGGACTTCCTTGGGTTTCGAAGGACAAGAGGAGTCGCAGCTGAGAAATCAGGTCTTGCGCAGGCCTGCTTCTTTTCCGTGCCTCAAGGTGATCATCTTGGAGTTGAGTTCGCCGCTGAGGCTCACAGGAACTACTTGCAAACAAAGGACTTCTGCATCCAGCTGAGGAGCTCCGCTCGGGCTCTCCTTTCAGAGGTCTTGATGTCGCTTCAGGATTGGTCATTGATGATTTCTATGCTGTTTCTGTTGAGGACGCTGCTCTTGCACATGTCGAGGCTGACGTTTCTGCAGGTCAAAATGTGAAGAGGCCGAAAGCAGTAGAGCGTCTTGAGAAGGCAAACAAAGCCTATGAGGAGGCGGGTCTTCTGGGCTCTCCCCACAAGGATCTCTGTGACGTTGAGAAGGGGAAGATCATGGGTGCTGAGATTGATGGCTCCGCATATGCTCGTGGTTTGGGGCTCACTACAGTTGCACG